AACTCGGTTTGCGACGTCGCAGACTTCCTGCCATACTTTATTTTTTAAATGGAAAACTACTCAACGGCAATTCTTTAAAACTGTCTTGATTTTTCTTCTCAATGCGAAGAAAATTCTGCAAAAACTTCAAGAAATAATATCAATTTGTTCTCCTTTAAAAAAATGACGTAGAGGCGGAGATTTTCAGACACCGCAAACGAGTTATGTGATTGCCGACTTTCACCGTCGAAATGTCTGATGAACATTCTAGAGTGAAGGGTGGCCCAGACCCACCGCACCAAACCTTTTTCCCGGTTAATTAGGGTCGTACAAAGTCCAGGTATGAAGAGCAGTTTTTAACTAAAGATACAAATGTTGACCATATATTTATGTATACATATCCCATCCCATCCCATCCCACCTATAATAGTTACCCGACCTATGTCAGCAATTCTTTCGTTCACGATAACTATCGTTAGATTTATGTTAGCTGGTTCAAATTTTGTATTTTTGTCCATTTTGGTCTGATGAAGAACTGTATAGATTTTCGGTTAAATCACATTTACCGTTTACTTATAAACGGTAATTAACGTAAGTGCCTTACTTACGCTGCTTTCCACTAAACTGTTTTTATGAAAGTTTCCGTCCTTGGTTTCCTTGGTAACCTTTGTTTGCTATCAGCTGATGTTTTATTTCCATTTCCCGGCCAAGTCAACGTTGAAGTCAACGGATTTTATAATTCCTGCAACACCAATTCCTTTTTTTTTTTTTTTTTTTTTTTNCTTTTTTTTTTTTTTTTTTTTTAAATCATTGCTAGGTTAGTTCTAATTTTTTTGCCAGCATGTATTCTACCCTCCCCCCTTCCAACTCATTTGCTAACTCCCGCAGTCCCCCCTTCCACTCATTTTATTCATATTTTTTTCCCTTATGCATGGCATGCCTTCCTCCCCTACTGCCATTTTTTCGGGGTTTCATTCATAGGGATAAAATATTGTATTGTATATAGATCTTTGATATATCGTTCGATATAAAGCAGGATAGACAGGGATAAGACGCACTTTATTGATATTCACCGGGATAAGAGGTAGAAATTTTAAGAAAAAGAAAATAATCAGTGAGAAACGGGATGGATAAGAATTAAACAGGATAGATATAGTGATAAAACAGGGTGATGTAATTTTTTACATTACAATTTTTTACATTATAAAATTTTACCTAATTAATATTTTGAAACAAAACTTCGGGAATGTTCAAAGAAAGCTATCTTCAGGGCCCCCAAGTTTTTGCCCCCTCACCCCCCCCCCCCCCCCGGNCCCCCCCCCCCCCCACGGGGAGGGGCGACGGGCCCCTACTTTTTTTTTAAATGGCAACATCCTCTTTGTGACACATCAATTCATATATAATTAAAAAAGAAGATTTTTGGCGCAAACCGCAAGTCAAACTCTTGATTTTTGACAAACCGGCCGCCGGTCAAAGGACTACGTGCAAAACGGGCCATTTGGGGCTCGGGGCGGATACCTTTGAGACTTGCTCTATTCATTCACCTAACAATGCCCCATCTTTTCCCAAAGTTTCAAGCCCCCCAAAAATTTTGGGGAGACGCGGCGGGGGGTCAAAGTTCAAAACCGAGTTATAAGAGCGGAAAGGAGCGAAGGTCGGGAAAATCGGCTATTTTAAACTGCGCGCGCGGCGTTGTGCGTTGATCGGAGGGAAAACGTCCCCTCCCACTCATTTCGGTGAATCACACTCCTCTGCCGACCTCGCATAGTTGTCACATGGCTCCTGATCCGTCGCCGCGCGCAGTTTAAAATAGCCGATTTTCCCGACCTTCGCTCCTTTCCGCTCTTATAACTCGCGACCAAAACATTTCCCCAGCATGCGGTAAAGAGCTAGAGGGGCTACAGAGAGTCAGGAACAACATATCAGTTTTTCATGAAATTAAAAAAATGGCTTTTTTTTAAATCGGCCCAAACGTGGAAAAATAAGGGGTCTCTTTTGAGCGTTCCGGCGCTTCGGAGGCGATAACTCGAGCTGAAGTTGACGAAACCCTATGATGTTATACATTTTCTGAAAGCTCTCGTCACGCTGAATACGCTCGTTTAAACCGCGTTTACGAAAACTTCTTGATTTTCGAGTAATAAATTCGCGAAAATTTTGCCGGTTTTGAACTTTGACCCCCCGCCGCGTCTCCCCAAAATTTTTGGGGGCTTGAAACTTTGGGAAAAGATGGGGCATTGTTAGGTGAATGAATAGGGCAAGTCTCAAAGGTATCCGCCCCGAGCCCCAAATGACCCGTTTTGCACGTAGTCCTTTCAAAATAACGGAAATTTACATCCCCGTTTTCGTCGATGGATTGGGATGAAACTTGGTTCTAAGAGGTTTTTTGGAACGAGAAAAACGATTCTGGCATTATTTTCCCGGAAAATTGTTGTCCTTTTCAAAATGGCGGTGGTCAATAGGGCGACCTTGAGCGGCAAGAGAATAAATTAGACTGCTTATCGGTGAATTTGCATGAAACTTGGTATCAGGGAGCATTTTGGCCTGAGAAAGACGAATCTGTCATTGGATTTTTTGAAATTCCGAATAACTTCAAAATGGCGAGGAAAATGGTTGAAACTTGGTATTACAGACGTTTACGGGTGGATTCCCATGCTGCCATTTTGAAAGTATTTGACATTTCAGAAATGCAATGTATAAGAGTCATTTTTTGTCAAACCAAAAACAAACAGGACCCAGAGTTTCATTCGCATCCAACCGTAAACGTCCGTAATACCAAGTTTCCAACATTTTCCAGATGCGCAAGGATTGATAAGCATAAAACTGCATTTATCCCGTTTGATCTAAGTTCATCCTAATTCAGTAACATTTATCCTTGCCGGACAAAGAATTTGATTTTAAATTAATTTAATTTTAAATAAATTAAATGTGTCTAGTTTTATAAATTAAGATTAAGATAAAAAAAACAATTTAATTACACATTGGTAGGTTATAGGTTATGTTACATTTTTTTGTTTACTGGATCAAGACGCTTCACGCTTTTAACATCTCACCATAAATTGTGCTGAACATTTATCAAGTGGATCACCGATTTCTCCAATTTAAAAAAAAAGTGTTTACCAAACAGAAAAAGATTATATTGACGCCATTTTAGTTCCCCTTAAATTTCAACGTAGGCAACACGAGTTTCCACGTGGTTGAATGACAGTTTGCCTTCAATTATTAGTGTAGGCAACACAAGTTCTCACGTGGTCGAAGAGTGGTATCATCGCCCGTGCAATAGACGTTCTCTGTCTATTAATTTGTTTGTATGTCATGTCGGGTCCACGTTCGCCAGTGAAGTAGTTGCTCCTCTAAACTGTTATCCATTAAGCTGTTTTTATTTTTTTTTTTACTTCCCGTCCGAGCACATGAACATTAAAAGAGAGATATGAGGATGATGATTATGATGCTGATGCTGATGATGATCATCATCATGAAGAAAAAAAAGAACAACGAATGGTGCAGAATAAGATGAGTGAAAGAAAATAAGCTAAAATAAATTTAGAGAGAAGAAGAAGATAATAAAAGTGGGAGAAGCAAACAGAAAGAAGAAATGAAAAGTAAAAAGAAGAAAGCCGTGAGAGGGAGATCGAAATAAAATAAGAACGTGGAAATAGTGGAATAGCTGTTTCATCGTGGAAGTGCACGGTTACTTGGAATGTTTTTAAAAATAGCATTTCACCAAACTGGAGAGGATTAATTAACGTCATTTCATTTCGCCTTCAATTTCAGTGTAGGCAACAGGAGCTTCCGCGTGGTCGAATAGCGGTATCGTCGTGAAATAGCACGCTCACTTAGGCAAAACAAGCTCTAATGTGGTCGAATAGTGGTATCATCCCCGAAACAATATCGGCCTAATGCTCCCCGTTATTAAATTAAAAATTTTTGGTGAAGCATCTAGACCCGTGACTTCAGTCACGGGCTTTCCGCTAGTACATATATATCTATATGCGTACCTACGAACTACCTTTAGCAAAAAAAAGTTTGGCCAAATAATGTATGGTTTGATATGGAGAAGCTTTTTTGTGCTAAAAGTGTCCCATGTAACCCCCACTACAGTCCCAATAGCCTGATGTAAGCGGCATTAAATCAGCCCTGGTAAAAATGATCAGTTGACGGTGTATCAGTTTGTCAACGGTGTTTTGGCGCGGAGCATCAGTAGACATCAATTGAGATCGGGTCAGTTGATGGCTTCAACTGATCTAAACTGATAAGTGGTAGCAGTTAGAAGTATCAACAGATCTGAAATGATACTTGGTATCAGTTGGTACCATGTATCAACTAATACGACATAAATTAAAAACGCATTATCTGCTTGTGTAATTTCACGTATTTATTCAGTTTCGCACGTTTATCTCACGATTTGACGGCCAGAGAGCGCTGCTGGGAATTATCGTTCTCGTATTTCTGACACGAGGCTTAGCAGGCAGTGCTCATTCCCAAACGGTCTCCCATCTAATTGTAAGTACTAACTACGCTCGGCGTTCCTTAACTTTGGTGATCGTCCAAGAGACAGAGCCACCACTCCATCCGCGCATGCGATCAAAATAGACGTATTTTTGCCATTTCAGGGCCCCCTTAGAATCAATTTGATAGAGAGTGATGATTTTGTGTTGAATTTGAATCTACACTTAATTTTTTCATTTTATTTTTTAATCACTTAAAATGTAAGTGAAGTTTCACAAGTTATGTTTCCTTAAAGATGAGACTAAGAAACACAAAATGCAAAACCAAAAATTATAATTAAAGATGTAAAAAAAGATGAAATGATGAAAAGTCAATAATCAACTTATAAGAACTTGAAAATAATCATGAAAAAAATTTGAAAACAAATAATTAAATCTTTATTGCGGGAGGGTCAAAAAAATTTCATTAAACATTTATATAAATTTAATGTGAAAAAATTATTGATCAAGGTAATTTATGTGTTTTCGTCACATTCTTTTCATGTAATTTTTATGTGTTAATTATGGAAAAAAATATTTTCGAGTGGTGAGCGTTGAAGAAATTAATATGTTCATGGTTCATCATTCTTTTGGGTGAGAGTCACTTATTAACAGTTTATTTATCGAACTGGTCTTGCCAATAATCTTATGGGTTTCACATACAGGAAATGCACTCCAAATTTTCGTACTTAATTGCTCCGTAGCCCTGCTCATTGAGTTAGTACAGTTTGTCCGCAAATTTAGCCTACCCCTGATCGCCTGGGTGAAGATCATGAGTAGTGAAGTTATCTTTTGAGAAGTCCTGATAATCATAAAGGTCTCCATTTTAACCCATGTTTCTATCAATTTCTAGGCATTTGCCATTTGTCTTCTTTGATAAGGGTGTTAAATTGGAAGCTCTTAAAAGTTCCAAACATAAGACAAGGCCCCTCCCTGTAGTTGCCGTTGCTTCGGTGGGTTAAATTTTTTCAGGGTTTCCCATATTTCCTATCTCTTCAGTACTGTTTCCATTATTTCCATTTTATTGATCATTAAGTCCACTTCCAATACTTCAGTTCTTGTTATCGCTGTTGTTTCCATTGCTCCTGTGTACGTTTTCCTCCATACCTTTGGTTCCCATCCTCTATTGGATAATCATCTCCCCTTCCAAGGGAACTAAGACAAAAACAATGCAAAACGAACACATAAATTTCTGTACTTGATTTATATACAGAAGACGCATTGCTACTCCCCACGTTCGAAAATATACCATTAGACAGAGAGAGACACCAAGCCTTGCAACACATTCTTCCTATAAAAAGGACCCTACAACAAAACGGCCAAATCGGCCTGAACACGGAATCCTACGATTTTCTCAGGGATGAAAGAGGGTCTTCCCAGACACTCAAAACTGGTCATATTTTTTGCCTAACCTCCAGGGAAACGGGGGGATTGGGGGTCAAAGTCAAAAACTTTAAAGTAGCATAACTTCTCAACGGTTTGTTGTAGAAAGATTAAATTGGTGTCAAAATTTCCAGAAAAATGAGAGCTTTCAGAGTATATGTATGAAATTAATTAAATTTTAAATTTTGACCCCCTTTTGGGGGAATTATACAAGGTCCCTCTTTTGTAAATTTTCGTTTTTCGATATTTTCGGTCATTCGGTTCGCACGGAGCAAAACAAAAACAATCCTAAATAAAAGAAAAGGGCTTAGTGATTAAAACAAGCTCAAGTTCATCTTGGGGAAACAATTAGAAGCGGAGTGATGAGTCTTCAAAGTTGACGCGGCGCGCGGGAACCTTGTATGTTGCGAGTCTCAAGGTCACCTGCGCCCCCCGGATTACCCGCAGGTCGCAAGTTTTTGTGTTTTTATGTTTCTGTAGGTCGTTTTTAATGTAAATCATTCAATGAAGATAGAATAATCGGAATTTTTGAATTTTACACAATGGGCTTTCGGTGAGGTACACCACATTAACGTTAAAAAATTTTGCCCCATTTCAAATTGCCCCCTCAAGAATAACTGAGACTTGTTTTGAAGCGCAAAGCTCGTCTACTTCTACGAGAAACTATTTGGCTTTAACAAGCGAGTTTCGTTAAGCGCTGTAGCTTAGGCTCAATTATAAAATTTTAAAATTAGGGGTACCCCAAAATTTGGCATCGATGGATTATAATTTCTGAATGGTTCAGTTCTGTATGTATCATATGTATATTTGAACTGAAGGTCCATGGTTTCTTCTAAATTAAAAGAACAGAATCGTCATCGTCAGCAAATGTTTAGTGACGTATGATGGACATAATGGTTGATACTCTAAGCCCCCTCTCGCTCCTCCCGTAAAATTCAAAAATTCCGATTATTCTATCTTCATTGAATGATTCACATTAAAAACGACCTACAGAAACATAAAAACACAAAAACTTGTGACCTGCGGGTAATCCGGGGGGCGCAGGTGACCTTGAGACTCGGAACATACAAGGTACCCGCGCGCCGCGTCAACTTTGAAGACTCATCACTCCTCTTCTAATTGTTTCCCCGAGATGAACTTGAGCTTGTTTTAATCATAAAGCTCTTTTCTTTCATTTAGGATTGTTTTTGTTTTGCTCCGTGCGAACCGAATGACCGAAAATATCGAAAAACGAAAATTTACAAAAGGGGGATCTTGTATAATTCCCCCAAAAGTGGGTCAAAATTTAAAATTTAATTAATTTCATACATATATTCTGAAAGCTCTCATTTTTCTGGAAATTTTGACTCCAATTTATTTAATCTTTCTACGACAAACCGTTGAGAAGTTATGCTACTTTAAAGTTTTTGACTTTGACCCCCAATCCCCCCCGCACGGTGGATCGAAACCTGCAAAAAGTCGGACATGGGCAATTCTCAGAAATAGTCATTTCATTGATGTAAATGTCTTCCCAAAGAGTTATATTTTATGATACAGGTATTGGTTTTCAATGTTTTAACCCCAGTTTAACGCACACAGCCTCCTAAAGTGGCTCAGGCGGCACTCGAAAAATGTTGCCTCACTCGGGACAAACCGTTCGCCTGTTGGTATTTCCCTCCGATAGATTTATGACAATTTCTGACTAAAGTACCTTGTCCTCCTCCTTAAGTAGAATATATTTCACTAATAACAAGTTAAAATATCGCTATTTTTATACGCGGTATTCTTGCTTTAAAGTACCCTCCTCAATACCGTAAAAATAATAATATAGCTAGACTTTTAACTAGCTATTTCAGCGTATTTCAGGGAAACCTTTGTATAGCAGTGGTAACTGATCCCTGAAGATTCATTATCAAGAAAAATTGGCTGCCCCAAAGTGCCATTTTGGGAATAAAGCTTAAATGATTTTGAAAAAGTGAAGTTCATAAAATGGTGGCTCGAGAGAATTCGAATTTCACAGGTCTATGGCGAATAAACACCGGGCATTTGATAGGTGATCTAAATGTAATTTTTAGTACTGAGTCCGAAAATGACCTTGGTTTTTCTCTTACACCCACCGATTTTCCGAAAAATTGAGATTTTCCACTTAAAATGGACTTTTCGGGAAATGTGATTTTCCGGAAAACTGGTGCATGGTAAAGAGAAACCAAGGTCATTTTCGAATCCAGGAGACAAAAATACATGAGAAAACATGCCTTGCGTGGTTAAAAAAATGTCCACGTTGTTTCAGATAACGGGGTTTTCCTCTCAAATGTCCTAATCGACGCATATGATACTAATCCGTTTGTTTTGCGTCTGAAAAGACGGGAAAATTATATCAAGTTGGTGTCTAATGGAGCATTTTTCATCTACTACTTGATGCTAAAGTCAAAAATGGCCTAAATTCTTTTCTATCTTCTAACTATTTCCCAAAAACTCGCGTTTTTTTGACATCGGATTTTTTTTTTTTTATGTTTAATTTCTTCAGAAAATTAGAAGTTAATAGAGAAAATTGAGGCAATTTGAGCTTCAGCAGCAATCATTAAGCCGAAGAAGCTCCATTAGGTACCTAAGTATAAATAAAGGCAGTGTACAATGGTGACTCGCGGGGCCCTTAATTAGGAAGGCTCGGATAATACATGATTTGTGTTGATTGATGTGTATTTGATTTGTATTTTTCTCTCATATTTTTCCCCCTTGTCATTTTCTTTTGTTAGAAAGCTAAAAAGGTGCCCCAGGAATGAAGGGGAAAGGAGATCCTCTGTTTTCCGCTCAACATTTTCGGATTTCTATTAATTCATTTTTTGGGGGAGAGGAGGGGGAATGGTAAAAGAGATGAGTAATATACGTTTTATATACGATATTTAAACATTTTACCGGAGAGAAAAGTCCATTGAACACTTAAAACTCCGATTGAAATGAGTGTAGAAAGTTTAAACTTATCTGTTGTAAACAATATCTCTTTAGTTATCTGAAATTGTGCCAAAATACATATCTAAACCCAATAATCAGGAAAATAGTCATCAAAAATGAAATCTGCGACGAAAAATACATAAGAATCATGTATCCTGATTTGTTTTATGAGCGCAAACACTACGTAAATGAGCAAACCAAGTCGCGTGATGTGCCATGTCCGGCCTGCCCTATGACTCGATCCACCGTGCCCCGTTTCCCTGGAGGTTAGGCAAAAAATATGACCAGTTTTGAGTGTCCGGGAAGACCCTCTTTCATCCCTGAGAAAATCGTAGGATTCCGTGTTTAGGCCGATTTGGCCGCTTTGTTGTAGGGTCCTTTGATGCACAGGGTAAGCTTTTAGAAAAATTAAAAATTCAATTGAACACTTACAGGCGTCAGGTATTGGTGATTCAAGTACTTGTTCTTGAGGAAATTATCATTAGAAACACGATGGTGCCACTAATTTTCTCTGGTACGAACTCCCAAGCTAAAAAAGGCCCTTAAAGTTGAGGCCGTGATGGAGGGGATCCTCCACTCTACGCTAAAAATCCACCTCCATGTCTAATCAAACTATCCATGCACCGATAGAGAGCAAATACATTGACAGAGTTGCTGTGGCTCCAACCTTGGAGTTTCAAAAAAAAGTGGCAACCCTTCTAGTGTAATTGCTCCCTATCTGTGCATTTAAGTTTTGACTAGATGGACTTTCAGCCTAGCATGGTGGATCCCCTTCGACCTCCTCTTGAAGGGTTTTTTTTAGAGCTTGGGAGCTCGTTTTAGAGAAAACTGATTAGAACTGTTAAGTTTCTCATGAAATTTTGCTCAAAAAAAATTATTGGATCGAAAATCCCTGATGGATGCAAGAGTAAGTTGCTGCAATCATAAGTAGGAATTTAGCACTTTGCATGTACAAAGTTTCAAATTTTCTCCAGGCTAAAAATAAAATTTTATTTCAACCAAATTGCAGAATGTGGTATTTTTAGTATGCTTTGCAATAAAATAATTTTCTCCGTTACCTCAATTTTTCTTCACAAACTGAATAACACTCTATATCAGAGCTGAGAGCGAAGCAACGCTCATATCTGCTACATAACTTAATTTTACAATTAAGAGCTGATTATTTCTGGCTCAGTTTAGAAACAATGCATGAGCCATTAGTTAGTCTGGGCAGACGGGTACTTCTTGAATAACATAGATTTGTTAATAAAAAAAGGCAGTCCAATTTGACCTACATTGTTACAGATTAAAGTTTTTGATGTCATTTTATCAGGTTTACTAGCAAAGCTTACCGTTCTCTCGGTTGTCTTCCCCGGTGATTTCATTTAGTACTAGTTTTCAGTTGCTGGTAATGCAATATATGCATGAGAATACTCCCCATTGGAATGATCTTCCACATGAATTGATTTTTTGATTTAAGTTGAACACATTTTGGGTTGCAAACAATTGTGAATTCTTTTTGTTGCTGACAATATGGTATGATGCCATCTTATGATCTGATGGGCCTGACAAAGGTGTACACAAACTTAATGTCCTATGTTAATTAATTTAATTTCCATTCACAGTTTTTAAACTAACCTTACTATGAAGCTCATTAGAGTGACAAACACCTTGTTTTGTCTGCTGATTGAATGCCCGTTGATTTTATGTCCACCCCAGTAATATAAAGAGCTTGATGCAAAAACGGCTTTTTTCGCCCCCCTCTGGAAGTTCTTCAGACTTTGTCTATTTGTTCTATTTGTTCTTTGTCTATTTGTATGTTCTGTACTCATACTTGAGCGCTTCTTTTCCCAAATTTTCAGACTCCCAAAAAATTTTGGGGGGGAGCTAGGGGGGGTGGAAGTCAAAACCTGTGAACCTCGATATCTCTTGAAAAAAGAAAGATATCGAGGTCCGGTTTGGACGAAAAATCGTCTAAAATTGCATACTTTAAGATTCTAAAGGTCAAAATCCCGATATCACATTTTTAAGTCAACATATGTGCTTTTTTCCAGTTTTTAGGTCTAGAAAAGGGGTGGGTGCAAAATCGACAAAATTTCCCCCCTCATGGATGTTGACCAAATTTCAGTATGTCATTCCTCACTATGGGATACGCCTTTTCCCAAAATTTCACGGCCTGAAACGAATTTCTCTCCGCGTAGCAGCGTTGCCAAGTTGAAAACCGTCGAGTTCCATATCTTTTGAACGAAAAGAGATATTGAGATGCGGTTTGCGCTAAAATTCTCCAAAAATTGCGTTCTTTCGATATATGTACTCAATTTGATCGTTTAGGTAATTTAAGATTGCAATGATGCCATTTTTCACACTTTCTTAAGGGTCAATTTTTTTTCAACCCTAGTACATCATCAAATGCCGGATTCTCGATTCGAAAAAAAAACTGTTCATTGTATTATTCGTGCTTTTCCATTTCTTTTGATATATTATAGCTCCCAGGGAAACGATTAGTAACGGAGATATGAGCAATCTAAGTTTACGCTCCGCGCGCGCCGACCGGAATCCGGGCGCCGCTCGCCGCTCTGAGTCGTCTGCACACTCCCTTTCTTAAGCTTCACGAGGTCATTCCTATGTATTTTTTTGCGTACTTTCCATTTCTGGCCTTTGAAAAGGGCTCCGATGAATTTTTAGGGGCCTCGCGGTCCATTGTTGCCATTTTTTGCTCGTATTTAGGGTTTTTTCCCTATTTTACTCACAATTCTACTGAAAAACTTAATTTAAACGGAAAACTGTGTGCGTTGAGGGAAAGAACGTAAAGAAGAAATAAAAATTCATGTAAAAATTTTTCCTTCGTTGCCAAATTTTCGAGAAAAATCGTACTAAAGAGCCAAATATTTGAAAAATTGGATAAATCCCCACGCCATGGTTTATGAAAGTGGGGCATAGCTTTCATATTGACGTACTTACGTAACAGATCTTACCTATCTATACAACATATTAAAAAAGCATAGTTGTATTTGGATTCCCACGATCTGAAAATTGTCCGGGATGTCACCTTTTGCGGTCTTTTCTTATGTGTAAGGTAGATCTTTTGAATGTTTTTCGACCTTTAGTCATCCTCCGTAGGGGTGTATCGTAACCATATGTCGTAGAACGTAGAAGGTTTTAGGAAATGAATAATGACTTTCATGCAGAATTGAAGAGCTTTTCCGGAAAAAGGGCACATACCGAAAAAACGTGTTGTGAGAAAAACGCATTTGAAGTTTTCATTCTTACTTTCTGGCCACTGATGATGACATACATCGGAACTGAGGCACTCATATCAACGTTCATACACTCCAGAATGAATAACGGCCATTGGTAAAACTTACACTTCTTCCAGTGTTGTGGGAAGAATTTTTTAAAATTGTTCGTTATGTGCCCTTTTCCTGGAAATGGACCAGTGGTCATAGGTTTTGGCTTTTGAAGCTGAATTTTCGAGACTTCAACGAGTTTCTAAACAAGAGTAAATAATTCCGATTGACCAATAAATAATAATTTCGATTGAGAACGCGCGGGTGGATCATCTTCGATCATTAATAATGAAAAAGACTGCGAAACACGCGAAAAAATCGAAAAATTCAATCTCACACGAGACCATAAAAAATAAATCATTAATAATTAAAAAAATTCACGTGTGACTGGTGCAACGCGTAGAGAATCCCTACAATCCCTGCAACCCGATGCTATTGCATTGATTAGCAGAATCAGTGCGATGCATCTGTAGTGAGGGATCCTTATCAGTACCCATCACCTCCCTGCCTGCCCGCGCACTATCTCCTAAACGTCGCGGCGAAAGTACCCAGAAGCAAATAGATGAAATACGTCTGTGACCCCTGACTTATTCTTAGCCTCAAAAAACGTGGTCTCGTAGCTCCAAAAATTGATCAATTAAGCTGAAACTCGGGGCATTGGTACATTAGGATGCAAGGAATCCATTTCTGTCACCTCCGATAGAGGGCACATACGCGTATGTGCCCTTTTTCCGGAATGCTCCTCAATTGTGGGCTTCTCTTCTCATGCAGCCTCTCTGCCTCTCATCTTGGGGAAGTGGCCCGTGGCATTAAGTCATACTTAAAATTATAATTATAAAATTAAGTCGAAGTCATAATTCACTTTCCTAGAGACATCTTCGTCATAATTAATCCAATTTTTGGCACTTTAGGACGATTTTTCTTGAAAATTTGGCAACATAAGAATAAGTCCTTACGAACGTTAATGATGTACTTTTTTACGTTCTTTTCAAAAATGAAAATTACAGCAAAAATACATACGATACACCCCTACGGAGGATGACTAAAGGTCGAAAAACATTCAAAAGATCTACCTTACACATAAGAAAAGACCGCAAAAGGTGACATCCCGGACAATTTTCAGATCGTGGGAATCCAAATACAACTATGCTTTTTTAATATGTTGTATAGATAGGTAAGATCTGTTACGTAAGTACGTCAATATGAAAGCTATGCCCCACTTTCATAAACCATGGCGTGGGGATTTATCCAATTTTTCAAATATTTGGCTCTTTAGTACGATTTTTCTCGAAAATTTGGCAACGAAGGAAAAATTTTTACATGAATTTTTATTTCTTCTTTACGTTCTTTCCCTCAACGCACACAGTTTTCCGTTTAAATTAAGTTTTTCAGTAGAATTGTGAGTAAAATAGGGAAAAAACCCTAAATACGAGCAAAAAATGGCAACAATGGACCGCGAGGCCCCTAAAAATTCATCGGAGCCCTTTTCAAAGGCCAGAAATGGAAAGTACGCAAAAAAATACATAGGAATGACCTCGTGAAGCTTAAGAAAGGGAGTGTGCAGACGACTCAGAGCGGCGAGCGGCGCCCGGATTCCGGTCGGCGCGCGCGGAGCGTAAACTTAGATTGCTCATATCTCCGTTACTAATCGTTTCCCTGGGAGCTATAATATATCAAAAGAAATGGAAAAGCACGAATAATACAATGAACAGTTTTTTTTTCGAATCGAGAATCCGGCATTTGATGATGTACTAGGGTTGAAAAAAAATTGACCCTTAAGAAAGTGTGAAAAATGGCATCATTGCAATCTTAAATTACCTAAACGATCAAATTGAGTACATATATCGAAAGAACGCAATTTTTGGAGAATTTTAGCGCAAACCGCATCTCAATATCTCTTTTCGTTCAAAAGATATGGAACTCGACGGTTTTCAACTTGGCAACGCTGCTACGCGGAGAGAAATTCGTTTCAGGCCGTGAAATTTTGGGAAAAGGCGTATCCCATAGTGAGGAATGACATACTGAAATTTGGTCAACATCCATGAGGGGGGAAATTTTGTCGATTTTGCACCCACCCCTTTCTTTTAAACGAAAAATTTACAAAGATCTCAATTTTTTATTTGAACCAAAACCAGTTTTTTAAATTGTTCGTCTTTTTTCGCATCCAACGAGTGGTCCATTAAGCTGGGGAACCAAACGGTTCCGGAGTTATGATCGATTGAAGTTTCCGCTCAACGCGCGCCGACCGATTTTCGCGCGCAAAAAAGTCGGATTTGACTGTTATTAGATCAGATTGAATGTTCAAACTGAGCAAAATGCTTTATTAGGGACTCTTGAGGGTCGCTGAGTTCAGAAATTACAGATACTTCCAAATAATCTACGTTTTTAAAATTACAGCTCCGCAGCGCTATTTTAGAGGCCCACTGAGCGCCGACCGGCCGCTCAGTGGTCCTGTCCGAAGCTGCAATTTTAAAAACGTGAATTTTTTGGAAGTATCGGTAATTTCTGAACTCAGCGACCCTCAAGAGTCCCTAATAAAGCATTTTGCTCAGTTTGAACATTCAATCTGATCTAATAACAGTCAAATCCGACTTTTTTGCGCGCGAAAATCGGTCGGCGCGCGTTGAGCGGAAACTTCAATCGATCATAACTCCGGAACCGTTTGGTTCCCCAGCTTAATGGACCACTCGTTGGATGCGGAAAAAGACGAACAATTTAAAAAACTGGTTTTGGTTCAAATAAAAAATTGAGATCTTTGTAAATTTTTCGTTTAAAAGAAATTTTCTAGACCTAAAAACTGGAAAAAAGCACATATGTTGACTTAAAAATGTGATATCGGGATTTCGACCTTTAGAATCTTAAAGTATGCAATTTTAGACGATTTTTCGTCCAAACCGGACCTCGATATCTTTCTTTGTTCAAGAGATATCGAGGTTCACAGGTTTTGACTTCCACCCCCCCTAGCTCCCCCCCAAAATTTTTTGGGAGTCTGAAAATTTGGGAAAAGAAGCGCTCAAGTATGAGTAACTAATAGACAAAGTCTGAAGAACTTCCAGAGGGGGGCGAAAAAAGCCGTTTTTGCATCAAGCTCTTTTGGACAAAACTAAGAATTGAAAAGTAAGAAGAAATAAAATTAAGAATTAGGTCATAATCTAACTTACATGTCATAAACTCACTTGAAGAACAGATCTTTAGTTGATTGTTTGAATTGAAAGATCCATGTCTGGATTTTGTAAACGTATGGGATCAACTTGTTTAGCTGCTCATCAAAGTAATCAAATACATATCCAGCACATTTTGAACTGTAAAATACAAAACATCCATTAGTAATTTTCATTTGAATCATAAACTCCAGGAAAGAATAAAAAATTGGCCTCCGGCCAATTTATGCGCGGCGCAAGCGCCGCGTACCGGCGCTTGCATGTNGGGGGGGGGGGGGATCATCATGGTGCGAAGATAGCACAAGACTTTCTCGCTTTTGCCGACGCTTCGCGCCGGCATAGACACTTTTACTGGAATATTGAGAAAAATACTGCCAATTTCACAAAATCATAAAGTTTGATTGGAATTTTGATTGCAGGATAATAGTTATGAAATTTTTATTCAAACCACTGCACTTTATTGTAAATGTCTTCGAGATATGTGATGAATTCATACATTCGGACTCGACTTGTCGATATTATGAGGCATCTTCAATTAAATATGTAATTGATTAATGATGCCTTCTATTAAAGACGGCGATGTGTAAAAATCTTAGCTTTTCTACGATTCATTAGGATCCATTAGATTCATTGGCATCATACTTCAGATACGATTATATATTATATTCTTTCCTTAAGCACGGTCAAAAGCCATCAAAAATCTACTTTAATGGGTAGAATGACTATTCGATGTTTAAATAGTCTTAAAACTGAACGGTTATAGCTTAGCATCGCCCAAATTTTAAATTTGGCGGGCGAATCTACCTGCTGGTAATGGTTCACCATCACCACCCGCCCGCCAAGAGCGCCAGTTCCTTAGCGCGTATCCCCGTAATTCAAAACGAAAACAATAGAGAGCGCCACCTTCTTGCTGCTCGTGACCTGTCGTAACCCCGTGTATTTAAACAACAACAATAACAACAAACGTCAACAAACCTCGACGGGTTATAACGCGCTTTATTATCAATAATTATGTTTGTGCAGTTTTATTAAATTATATTTGTGTTCAGTACCTCGTAAAAAGAAACCGCGAAAGATGGAATCTGCCGGGATTCTAAATTCATTAACAACAAACATATTAGTTTCTAATAAAGATCAAAGATCTAAGTGTTAGTTCTTGCATTAGCTTTGATGATTCATAGTATGTAATGTAAGTACCTAATTAGTTGTCTAATTTTGCTTGGTGTATACCTACGGAGTAATTTTGGAGATAGTATATGATGCATTACATAATGCATTTGAATTCCTAGGTTTCATCTGACTCAAAGCGTTTGCTGCTATTATCTAGGAGCGTACCGACTCATTTATCGGAGAATTGAGCGTTTCCTATCGGCCCCTCTGCAATTATGAGATTAGTCCAAGGATCCTATAGGAACTTAATTAATGACTCAGGTGATGCTTTTGAGCCAACTTTCAAAAAATTAAAGGCATTTTTTCAAAATCTACCGTCCATGAGCTCTCCGCGTGACCGAAGTGCTCTCCTCGCTACATGACGCGTAACCTTTCAATTTTTAGTTTAGTCCAAAGACCTCACAGGAACTTAAATTAATGAACCAGGTGTTGCTCTTATGCTAACTTTCGAAGAATTAAAGGCATTTTTCTCTAAAATTTACAGTCCTTGAAAATGAGCTGTTTGTGATGTCGCGGAGCAAAGTGCCCTACTTTTGGGCCTCGTAATCCCTTGAATTTAGAGTTTAGTGCAAAGATCTTTTAGGAACTTAAATTAATGACCCAGATGATGTGCTTGATGCCCACTGTTAAAGAATTGAAGGCATTTTTCAAAATTTACAGTCTTTCAAAATGAGCTTTCCGTGTGATTTTGCTAAAAACGGACAATTTAGCGTATCCCCCCCCCCCCCCCCCNGCGTACCTCAAAATCGTTTGACGTGCATAAGGAGACCATAGATATGGTGTTCTGTGAGAATTTTGAATGAAATCGAACAGATAGATTCTGAGATATCGCTGTACACAGATTTGAGGGACATCGGACGGACGGACACACATTTTTTCAAGTATGGTTATTTTGACTCCTGGGACCTTAAAACGTCTGGAAATGATGAAATTTCAACTTTTTTTTTTTCCCTTGGAGGATGACAATACTTCCTCTCTACCCTAGGGGAGCGAGAAAGTAAAAATATGTGAGAGAAGTAAAAAATCATAAAAAACAGCTTTTCATAAAGTTGGCAGAGGGACTGAGAGTGGGGAGATGGTTCAGGTTATGATCAATTCCTCCTCTGTAAGTTTTCTCATGAGCGATTAATTGAGTCAAACCTTCATCCCTGAGTCAACCTCGCCTGCAAGATCTCCCCCAACCCAGACCTCAACAAAAAGACCTGATGCACAAGAATGACTGCATTTGGCTCGACCTTCTCCTCTGGGGCCCAGGTCTGGAGGCACAGGTATTTCTATGGAGTGAGTCATTTGTGAGGAAAGTGTAAACAATGTGCTGGCTAAAGTAGAACAATGGTATCTCTACCACAGTGTTTACTAATCTCCAAAGACATTGAATAGAGTAGACCGTGCGCTGTGAAATGGAGCGGCGGCCACTTCTCTTTCATTCGCATGTCGCACCGACCGATGAGTGCGGGAACACCGAAACGGCACCGGTGAGGTAGTGAGCCCCAGCCGTCCCCAGCTCACGGTAAACGAACAGTGCGCTTATACGAGGTTGGTACGGTTCAGCTCCGAAATCTTTAATTATTAATTGATTAAGGCGAATATTTTCGGCTGATGTGTTCTTTAATTATAATCGAATGTTTCTGTGTGAAGATGTGTTTTAGTTTTCATGATAAAACACCACACAACTCTCAATTCATGGTATGCTTACATGAGCAAATTCTTGATGAACCGGGCAAGAGACAAGAATGATTATGTGCCGATGATAATTTTTAAACTTTGACTACATTTAGCCTTAAGGAACTACTATTTTTGGTTCATTTGTTTCATTACCTATCTATCTACACAGGAAACTTATACACGACACAACAACGGATCATGAACACATGGCACATGTCTAATGGCACATTTTGTTCTTCCTAAAATGAGCCAGAAATAGCAGTTCTCCATTGAAAATTGTAGTCAACTTAGTGTCTTCAATTTCAAAATAGTGTTGTTTCAGTTTGTGATATTTATTTGTGATAAATGTAATATTAAGTAAATACCCTCAGCATTTTGCTGAAAACATTGCATAAGTGCTGTTTTTTTTTTTTAATTTTATGGAGGAAAGTAAGGACATGATAAGAACTCATTTCATAGAATCCACTGCACTACAATGTGCAGAAAAATTGAGGCACTGGGTGCAAGAATGACACTTCTTGGTTGCGGTGGTTCAAAATCTCTACTAATATTTCATCAGTGAGAAAATTCATGAATTTCGTTGAAATTTCTACTGAGTTATTTTTCATGATTCTGCAATTTTCTGTGAAAAAAATCCTTGAAATTTACCATTAGAAACTACTCTTCTAAACAAATATGAACTACATAGATTCTGGAACATCGTTAAAAAGAGGTGCCCTTCTCGAGCGCAGCGACTTATTCACAGAGACGCCTAAAAATGCAAAGGAATTAAGAGCAATTACTTACCCATACTTTTTGAAAATAAACAGTATCCACGATCGCCAGTCATAAACAAGCGACTGAAGTATTGATTTTGAAATTTTTGAGCAGATTAAATAACATTAAGTTGCGACTCGCAAATTAGTTTGATAATAAGGCTTGAACATCATCTTTTTCGGTGGAGTAATCTTAAATCTCGGTACTTTGAAACTGCCGAAATCGTTGCTCCTCTTTTTCAGCTTTTTATCAAATCTGTCTCTTTGATCAAGATAGACAATAGCTTTAAGTAACTCTCTCGTAACTTTTTGTGCCTTTTTATGTACAATACATAACATTATTCCTCGTTTTTACCCTTGATTTATACCTCATTTAAACCTTTACCTCATTTTAAATCCTTTTTGTACCTTTTACAAAACTATTTCTTATCCACGCCGTCATCTTTACAAGCTGCACGCATTAGAAGAACATGCGTCTGATACGCAGGTCACTTTCCTCATATTTTCAATTCTGAAGCGTTTTCTCCAGTCAGTAATGACTGTATAGAAACGAAAATTGTTCAGAGTAATAGAAAATTTCATGCTATTAACATGTGGTCCTTGTAAATTTTGCCAAAAAATGAAGTGGAAACGAGTAATTCGTGAAAATCCGAGTGCGCAACTAATTTTCCCACGTACGCGCAAGGCCGGCTCATGCTGCGAGGGCTCAGTCGCGAGCTCCCACCCCGCCCGCCCATTACAGAGTCCCGCCGAAGTGGCTTCGCTCAGCTGACACGGCGAAGATAGGGAGTGCACGGTCTACTCTATTCAATGCCTTTGCTAATCTCTGGTTTTTTAATTTTTAACCCTTTGAGGGGCGCTCTTAGGATTTTTTTTTTGGAGATGTTAATATTTTTGGGTTTAGATGTGTCTATTGAGCATGTAAAAATTTTTGTCAGGAATTTTTTTGCAATAGTTTAGTACAGATTACTATGAAAAAGGTGGTTAGTATCACTGACCACTGCCCGGTAAGGGGCAAAGCTATTTTTGGCAATTGTTTAATTTTTAGAGGGATGAAAAATCGCTTTTAAATTCATAAAAAAGGTAGTTTCAAGATGAAAATAGGTTGTTACTGTAGTAAAAACATTTTGGTATGACAAAAAAAAAGTAGAAATAGTATTTTTGAAGATGACAAGTCTTTGAATTGAGAAATGATAAAAAATGTTGCGTAACGCCTAGAAAATCACATAAATGTACTAAAATTAGCTATTTCAGGCACTAAATATGGAACTTTAAGTTAAGTAAAAGATTTAAATACCTAATGTAGACCTAATAGAACACGTCTGACTGAAAATGACACTGAAACTAAAAAATACTTTGAAAATAATAGGAAACATATCCAGCGTTGAGAGAAAAATACCCTTTGTAAGGCATCATAAAGTGGATTTACCTTGTAAAGCAGTTGAAGTTAAGGTTATTTTTTCATTTTTAATGTTAGCTTAGAATATATAGAAACTAAAATGAGAATAAAAAACATGTAACTTAGAAGAAAAGAGAATGATAAACATTAAAAACATGTCAGATTCATCTCCGCTTCGGATCTCAGTGAGCAAAATACTGCATCATTCTCTTTACTGCTGTGGTCAAGTATTTCACTCAGAAAATTTCCTAATTCATTATCGTTCAGAAATTCATTTATGGTGATGTTTATTCGCTCAAATACCTAAAATAAAAAGTAAAGTTTGCTCAGAGTAAACAAATAAAATAGAGGCTCCGCACTAGAATAGCGCGTCGATATATAAAATCGATATTTTCATGTTCCATGTGTCGATAACAGATAACCTGACACATTAGGGCTAGGAAGAAAGGGTATCCCGGGATAAGCATGTCAAAATGCCCTTGAGAATGGATTTTTAATTTAACCATTTTAAGTCATCAAGGGTGTCCTAAACCTTAGGTTTAGGGGATTTTAGCCCCCCAACCCCCTCCGCCCCCCCTCAGACCCCCAAAAACCGCTTTTATTTTTTGGGCTATTTTTGACTATGCTAACGTCATTTCCTCACAACTTTCGTGATTTTCGATAGAATTGAACCAAAATTTGTCAGAATCTACATCAATTAGCTTAGTTTTTGTAGACAAAAATGCATTATCATCGGATAATATTTTAGCCTCTAAAAAAATTCGTAAAATTTTTGAAAAAATCATTTTTTTCCTTTTTTCGCGGCTACGTGGCGTATGGAAACATGCACACAAACAAAAATTGTCTCTTTTCTTAATTTATACATCCAATAAGATACAGGAAAAATTTCGTGTTGATCGGAGTGGTGCGCCATACTTAAAAACGCAATTTTGTAACCTCAAAACGGCCTAAATGCCACCATTAGCCTCCTTTGATGACTAGGCGTGGAGAAATTTAGAGAGAAATATCCGGTTTTATAGTCTCACCTCTTAAGTGATCCACTTAAGTACCTTGAGTCAAAATTTCGAGTTGATCAGGGTGGTGCGCAACACCCAAGCACGCAATTTTCTAACCTCAAAACGCCCAAATTGCCCATTTCGGCACCTATTATCACTCCGCGTGAAAAAAAAAGAGAGGTACATCCGATTTGATTGTCCTAACTCATGA